GGCTTTGTGGACTTGAACCTCGTCACCTCCTTCATTCACGGGGAATGAACATTCCCCCTCTTCAACATGTCTCCCTTTAATATTCAAGCGGGTTCTAGGAATATTTGTACCATGCGGAGGAAGCGCCTTCGGCATGTATTGAGCCAAGGCAACTGGTGGTCGAGGCTCGCCGGGACGTCCTTTCGTCTTTGTGTCATAGGCGGGGTCCCTTGCTGGGTTTCTCTCAACCCATCGCTTTGTTATTCTCTTCAAAGATCTAACGTGTCCAGCATCGTTCCTTTGCTTTTTGCGGGTAACAACTACCCAATCCTTCTCGCATACCGGATTAGCCTGTGGTGACTCTGGCGGTTGCCTAGTAGCATGTTTCACAATGAATGGAAGCGGGCGTTTGTATTGCTTGCCCCCATCTTCTTCATCACTCTCTGCAACCAACGGAGCGAACCTTCCGTATGAAATTTGGTTGGTGCTGGCAGTTGCATCAGCCAGCTCAATCTTTCCATCACGAGCAAGCCCCATCACCTTATCTTTAAAGACAAAACATTTTTCAATTGGATGTCCGAGGAGACGATGATACTTGCAATAGTTGGGGTCGTCCACCTTAGAAGCTTCTTCGGGACGCTTCATCTCCGGTAATTCAATTAACTTGAGTTTAAACAACTCATCAAACATGGGTGAAACATCAGAATCCAGGAATGGATATTGTTTTTGCTGCATCTCTTCAATGATTCTAGTACCCCGAGATGGGCGGGAAAATGACCTCGGCCTTGGATTTTCAGTCACTTTAGCGAAAACCCGCATTGGCGATGCTCTCACGTTCATGGCCTCCTTCTTTTCTTGCTTCGGGAAGGGCTTGCCCCCTTTCTTGAATTCTTGTTTTACAGGTGCCTTAGATGAGCTAGGGATACTTGACATGCCGAGCCCTCCATTGGCTTCAATACTCAACTCCATGTCGTGAGCACGACTGGATAGTTCTTCAAATGTTCTAGGCTTGATTCCCTGCAAGATATAAGAGAGCTCGAAGTGCATCCCTTGGATGCACATTTCAATTGCGGAGCTTTGTGATATCCTCTCTTTACAGTTAAGACATAACTCCCTCCATCTTTCGATGTAAGCGCCTGCCCGCTCACCCTTCCATTGGTGGGTAGTGGTGAGTTCCAAGAAGCTGACAGTCCTCCTGGTGCTGTAGAAGCGGGTCAAAAACTCGCGCTCCATATCATTCCAACTATCAATGCAACCATGCTCCAGGTCAGTGTACCAATCAAAGGCAGTGCCCTTCAGAGAGCGGACGAACTGCTTGACGAGGAGATCTCCGTATGTTCCTGCATCATTACAGGTTTCAACGAAGTGGGCGATGTGCTGCCTCGGGTTGCCTTTTCCATCAAACTGCTGGAACTTGGGAGGTTGATAGCCCAGCGGCATTTTCATTTCTTCAATTCTCTGTGTGTATGGCTTAGTGTAAGTATATGAAGATTGTGTTCCCTCGAGCTTCCCTTTAATTGCTCCCATGATGTAGTCGTTCAACTGCTCGACATGTATCATGCCCTCATAAATTGGAATACTTTTCTCGGCCGGTGGTGGACGAGAGATCGTCTCTTCTATTCTTGGCCTACTTTGATGACGCGGTGACTCGACATCAATCTCATCTTCTTGAGTTTGAGGCTGCTTCCCAGAAGCTCGACTTGTTTCGCCGTTTCGCCCGCTTTCAACCTTTTCACTGAGCTCATTGATTCTCGTTTCTTGGTTATGCATGAACGCAGTTATCCCCTCAAGAGCTTTGGCGATGTTGGCTAGTTGTTCCTTCACCGAGGCCGCGTTCGTTGTCATGGCGGGCATGATCGTGTATATATGATTCCATTCCGGTGAGGTTCTCTGCGGAAGTGATGACTGTGATGAGCTTCCACTGCTTGGAGTATTATTCGGGGAAGTAGGGCTCACCGGGCTCTTGTTGCTGGGAGCTCCTTCACTTGTAGGATTGTTGTTGGCAACAACCTCCATTGTAGTGGATGACCCTTTGTTACGTATAGCTCTGCGTGGCATGGTGGAGCTTCTGTCAATCCTTCGAACGATATGGCGAGCGATGTCCTGGGCCCCGTGCAGCTGCACGCCCAGGTTCCTCACTCGGCTCCGAGTCATTGCTCCTTCCACGTTTTGGCTGTCACCGGAACTGGTCACGGATGATGCCTTGGAGCGGGTAGCTTGAGCGTAGGTCATCTTGGAGGAGGGATTTCTCGATGCCATTTTTGGATTCCTTCCGTATAGAGCCCGCGAATCAACAGTGAAGAGATGAGAGGCAGAGTGGTCCCACTGGGCGTGCCAAAATCTGTAAACACAAAAAAGCAAACTTTGTATATATTCACAAAATTCCGTGTACAGCGTGTGTATAATTCAATGCAGGTACAAAATCTCTGTCTAGTCCTCTGATTCTTCACTGACGTTATCTATTGAAGTGCCTCCGGGATTCAAATAGCGTAGCCTCCGGGATTTAATTGGCGTAGCTTCCGGAATTTAATTGGCGTGACTTCCAACAACGAGCGTTAAGAATCTAGAAGTAATCAATCCTGCAAAATCTCAAAAACACATGCAATGGACTCAAGCCGCCTGAAGATCCTCAAATGCATTCAAAAGGCCTCAAGATCTTCGAGACAATCAATTCTGTGGAGCTCCAAAGTACCTGCAAAATATTCAAAAGATGCCTCCACGCCTTCAAGCGTTCTTCAAATGCCCTCAACTCCTTAAGTCTTCAAGTTGTTAAATGCCCTCAAGCTCTAAGCCTTTGAGTTCTTCAAGCCTTTTAGTGTGTTTTGGAATGAGAATGAAGGCTCTATTTATAGCTGAAGCCTAACCAACATTCCTCAACAAACTCCCCATTTTAATTAATTAATTAATTAATTAATTAATTAGGAAAATGAACCTTGTTCAAGATCAAGTCCAGGTTCATTATTGTATAATTAAATTCAAATTCAAATTCAAATTAAATTATAATTACTTAATTCAAATATAATAAAATTGATATTATATTTAAATTATAACTATAATTCAAATTCAAATATCAAATGGGCTCGAACCAATTAATTAATTAGTTCAATGGCCCAAATCAAATCTAATTGGGCTAATCAAATTAAATTAATTTCTATGACCCGATTAATTAAATTGGCCCAATCGTCAATCTCAACATTGGCCCAATAACACTTTAGTCGGTCCATTTATCGGGTTCAAATTTTCAGTGTCTACAGATCCACTATAATCAAAATACTAATCCTAAGCTCTTTTAGTAGAAAATTAAAACTTTCAAAATCTGAGTACGCTACATATTTTCGCAGACTTAAAAAAGGGGAAATCTTCGTTCACTGTACTATCTAATCTTTCAAAATAGATTAAACATTGCAATTCGACCAAAAAAAATCAAACAGAAACCCAAACAGACAGATCTTCAGTATGCAAAATATAGAACAGAGATCGAACAAAAAACTTAAACTAAATTAAAAACTAAATGCATATAGAAAAAATAAGTTAAAAAGTAATGAGAAAGACAGTGATGTACCATCAACTAGATCTGTTCTCAGAATCTCTGGACAAGAGCAGCCTCAAATTGAAGAATTTCGGGAGCACCCTTCTCCTTCCGCCAAACTCGCTAAATCAACTTCGCGTCGATAGTGAAAATCAGGGATTCGAAGTCGTCTGTTATCGGAAACCCTGACCCGCCATCCCTTGAACCCGAATCCATTATCCCCTTCTTCTAGTGTATACTCTTTTGGGAGGGAGGATCAGCTCTCAGCTCTCAGCTCTGCTGATGAAGAGAGCTGAAAATTTGCCGCGGTCGGACAAGAACTCCGCCAGCAATGGCAGGCCTACGTCTGCTCCCAGAAACGCGACAGCCTCTTCACCTTCGTCGGCGCCAAGCGCTACAAAATCAAGAACGACTTCCGAGGCATGCTAATGGACTACTACATCGACGAGGATGACTGCAGGGCGGTGGACTGCTCCGCCGTTATGTGCTCCGACGGATCGTCGGCCGTGTTCGACGCCTTCCTCCACTCTGATTTCTGCCTCCAACCAAAAAGGAGACGGCATGACCCGACCGCCAATGTACAACTGATGAAAAGAATCACATGAAAGGACAAAATTGTCCTTCTATTTCACGGCTGCTTAACGTCAAAAGTAACGGTGGTTTACAAGTGTCCAATTTTTATAAGTCTGGATAAAATGTGGCAAAATTAATAAAAGCGGGCAAATCTGTCCAATGCGCAATAAATGTAGGACCAAAAGTGGATTTAACTCTTTTTGTTACCACATAACGCACTTAGAGAACAAGTTACATTGTGACTATAGTAGATACTACTCGTATTAAGAGGACATATCACTATAGTGCATATTTTTTTGTTTCTTTGAGTTTGACAATTTGTACTTGCATCAAGTGGGAAAATGTAACATTTTCCATTAGGAAATGCAATAACGGTGCAAGTTATGAGGGGCCTTAAATGGCCATTAAGTGGTGTCATTAAAGTGTTGTAACAGTAACCGTTACAAAGCCTATATTGATGGTTAATAGCAGCGACGGAGCCAAAGGGAGGCAGGGGGCAGCTGCCCCTCTCACTCCACCCCCACCCCATATATAATCTTTGTATGTATATATAGTACATGTTTTAATATTAGTATAAAAAAACTATTAAGTATTAACAAGAAATGAGTTAGTTTAGTTGGCATAGCACATATTTGGCAATAGTATAGTTTTACAGTTTTTTAATTTTTTTGACTCCTTCCCGATTTGCTTGGTTGGGATCCTTATCTTCCCAAGTGATGAGTTGGTTGGGACCCTTAATTTCCTAATGATGAGCGATGTTGATTCTTAGTTAATTAGCTTGAAGATATTCTCACAAAACTTTGTTAAGATGTTTGCCCTTGTTGGGAATTGATTCATGTTAAAACATGACTTCTTCACTTGTCAGTTGCAGTTATGCCTTGTTTAGTCCTGTCAAGATAAATGCTCCAGAATATTTAAGATAAGTTTAAACTTTCACTTGAAATTGTTGCCAGGTTGAAGATATATCCAAGGAGCCAAAAGTTGAACGTGAACTGACCAAGCTTATCTGATTAAAGTAACAAAGGTGAGATTTTTTTTTTCCACCATGAAAAGAATGTTGTTTCATGCAATGTCTGTTGTTCTTATGATCGAAATCAGCAGCTAGCTCGATCGTTGTAGGTGGCTTTGTCTGGAAGGCCATTGCCGCAGCAGCATTAGTAGCGATGTTTTTATCGAACTAAAATCGATGTGGAAGATGAATAAGGAAGCTATTGTCCATTTCTACTATCAGCTTCTTGCAGGTTATGAGAGGATAATATTCATTTGTTTCATTGATTGCTGGTTGTATAGAGTTCAATCCCACATCTGTATCTCCATCTCAGACACTCTATTTGTAGGTGGATACATTCAAAGACCGCATTGCATCTGCAGTTGAGACATTGAGGCCAACAACTTCATGGGAAAGAACCTCAACTGCAGGCCAAGCATTAGATGGAGTTTTGCTGGGGGAAGAGGCTTTGGATCAGCAATGGAAGCTCTCTTTAATTACTTTGGATTTGAATATGGAAACACATTTGCATTAGATCTAGCAATTTCATAGTTTTCTTAATTGTTGACTATTTTTGATTTCTAATTTATACAGAATATCTTAACTTGATTTCCCCTCATTCTATACTTTTTCAGAGATTGATACTAATTTGGGGTTTCATTTCATTCTTTTACACTGAAGTGCAGCTAGAGTTTTTGCCTTTATATCTGGTCCTCTTGATTTTGGAGCTGACCAACTAGACACATGATGGTATGGTGAACAATATGCTAGCAAACGAGAGGATGTAGATCGCGCTTTACTTCCTGAGCAGACACCATTTTATAAAGTTCTGGTTATTGCCCTATTTTAGTAGCTTTCTATTATGTCCTGATGTCATTATTTTGTCTTACATTGATATGTACTGCTAATATTAAATGCCTATGTGAAGCATATAATTTTTCTAATATGATTGGCTGAATATTTTGGTTTGTAAAAGTTCAACAATTTGGTGGATAGGAAAATAGAAAATCTCTTAACCAATAATATGTATTTCTTTACATCTTCTTGCTCATACCCTTCTGTGGATCATTTCTACAAGTTGCTATCTTAGATGGTGCAACAATGGGAAGTGGGGCATGTATTGCACTTCCTGGAATGTTTCCTTGGGTAACTGGTACCTTTCGAATATCTTAGGCTTACTAGCTTAGGTGTCATTATTATTATTATTATTTTTTAAAGTTAACATTCGACGTCGGTTTTTCTACAAAAAAACTGCGTCGTATGTTAATTTGTTATTTAAAAGAAAACATTAGACGTACCAAGGACCTTGTAGTTCAATGGTATCAAGTTGTTCAACCGTAAAGACTTAATTTGCAATGAACTTATCTTTTTGTTCTGCACAAAATGTCAAGGTATTTAGGGCAATATCTTTATAGGGATGTGTTCTTAGGACTCACTTTGCCTTGGACGCATTCGCTCAGTCTTTAAGGTTTCGAACTGTTGGAGCAGTTCTTGTATGAATAGTTAATTAGGTTAATGCTTTGAACCTTAAACCTCTCAGATACAAATGGCCGGTTGACTTTACCATTCATCCCTATTACTCCTCGAAAGGTAGGTCATTCCATCTTTTGATCTTTTGCAACCTTTCTGTTACGAAAAGTTGTCATTACCATTCGTTCTTCTTATACTTCAAAAGGTAGGCCCTTCCATATCTCGGTATTTGCAACCTTTCGGTCTTGTAGTCTTCTACTCTTTGAATCTTAAAGTCTTCAGGTCTTCAGTCTTCAACTCTTCGAGTTCTTCTTCTTAAGCTCTTCAAAAGGTAACCATTCGAGTTACTCGAATGGCCTTATAGTCTTCTACTCTTCGAATCTTAAAGTCTTCAGGTCTTCAGTCTTCAACTCTTCGAGTTCTTCTTCTTAAGCTCTTCGAAAGGTAACCATTCGAGTTACTATTCGAATTTGTTGAGACTTAATCGAAACGTGACCCATTCGAGTTAATCATTTGGATTGATTTGTTTAACCGAATTGTGACTACTCGAGGTACTATTACAATTATTCGAATGTAGAGTAAAGATAATCCTAAGTCTAGAAAAAAAATTGAGGACTAAAATTCTTATCATTTGTTATCATCAAAATCTAAAACAAAATGTTCCTAACAATAAACATTAAATTTAACAATAATAATATAAAAATTAACTTATTGTTGAGATGGACAAATTAAATTCATAAATTTAATACATTGAGTTCATCATTGTGGAAAACTAAAATTTGTATATTATTACCCTTAAATTTAATATTTATTAAAATGATATTTAACTAGAAGACTAACTTTAAAAAAAAAAATCAATAGTAAGGGATCACTTATGTTTAAAAAGTCTAGGACGAAGATTGGTTAAGATCAATAGTCAATGGACCATTTATGATCCAATTGAAAGTGGCAAATTATATCGTGCACCAGGGCGCACAATGATGTACATTATTCTAACATATAAAGTATATTATTATAACACATAATGTACATTATTTTAACTCACAATGTACATTATTCTAACTCATAAAATTCAACGAATTCGTTTTGGATTGAGATCCACACAATGTGTGGACCGTAATTTGCCTAGAAGTGTTCATTTGTGTGTGTGTGTGTGCGTGCGCGTGTGTGTGTGTGTGTGTGTGTGTGTGTGTGTGTGTGTGTGTGTGCGCGCGCGCGCGCAAACCATAAGGTGATCTGGGTCTTTCTCTGTTTGTTTTACGGTCCAGGTCCACCCGACTAATCTCAGTTAGCTCCAGGAGGCCATGGGAGCTGGTTCAGGGGGAACCGTCACTTGTGAGAATCGAACCCGAGTTATCCTGGATTCTTCCCTACAAAGAGAGCTCATTTGCCATTATTATTGTATGGACCAAACTATCAAATAATGTATATTCAATATACAAATAATGTACTTTTAATATATTAAAAATGTACAAAATATTCAGGGAAAATACATTATTTGAGTACTGAAAATACATTATTTTTTAAAATAAACATTTAGTACAAAAATAATACATTATTAAAAATATATTTTTTGTTATGATCTACACAACATCAGTCATTATATCGTGGACCGCGATGCATAATCGATTATGTACCGTCCATCAAAACGGCGCGCTGTTAGTGTTAACGGAGTGACACTACAGTGTATCTAAACCGACACTGCCTCATGTATTATTTTTATATTATCAAATGAAACTGCAGTTATATCAAAATGATACTGTAGTTGTGGTGAAAATGAAACTGCAGTATATATTGATAGGATATATACCCCGGTACCGACACCTGTACGTCTATGAGCTCGTTTATAGTTAGGTCAGGGTAGAGCGGTTAGGGACCCGATCTACGGGTCAAAATCAAGGGTGGCGGGTTTATAAAAGGGCTTTTTGGCCCTCTAAGTGGGGTCTTGGATTCATTTTTTCCATTCACTCTCTCGGCTCTCTCTATATATATAATATATCCTCTCCCATCTCTCTAAATTCTCTCTACATATAAGAGAAACACACAACATCAATAAAAGGAGGATTGAACTACTTCTTATCTTCTTTCTTCTTGTTCATACATTCATATACACATATATACATCTAGTACATACAACCGACATCCGGAAATTAGTACTATCATATATAAAATGAAATTGAATAACATTTCACATATTTGAGTGTATATTGTACAATGAAGCTGTAACTATATCGAAATGATCACGTAGTTGTATTTTAATGAAACTATAGTGTATATACAAGTGTCAAATAGGCCCATCTACTACTGCGAAGTGCTCAATTCCCACCACGAACTAAATTAAGTGTCAAATAAGCCCATCTACTAGCTAAATTTGTTCAATTAGTTTTTTTTTTTTTTTTTTTTTTTTTTTTTTTTTTTTTTTTTTTTTACAGGTTACCAATAGATTACCTATTTATTAATTATTAAAAAATAAATAAAAAAATTTAAAATTTTTTTTTTTTAAATAAAATAATAGCCACCGGCTGTCCGCCGAACAGCCGGTGGCTGCCCATTCACATACAGCCGTGGCTGTCCGGCTGTCCTCGCCATGTAAGTACCCATAACATGGAATATACAACAAGCCAAAACAAATGTAGAAAGTTTGTATTAGGAGCAAGAAGCCTTTTTTTACCTACTGAAACAAGCACAATATCTACTGGTTAGTTTAATTAATTAGTTTACATCGTATTGAATATTTAATACCATGATTTTGGCATTTCTAATAACCTATTCAATTTTTTTTTTTTTTGAATTTTCATAAAATTCTATGTAAAAGGTAACGTACAACTGTAAAAAATCACAAGAGAATCTCTACAAGATATATCAAATGCTAAGATATTTTCATTTCAGATTTATCAGTCACTTAGCATCTTAGTATTTAATGATAGATTATTAACTATTTTTATTTTAGTAAACGCACACTGTCAGCCTGAAAACATAAACACAGAGTTAAGTGCAGACCATAACCAATGCAATTCGCTAAATAGAGATTTATTTCAAGCGTTCGAAGAAGTGTCCTCTAATCCGAGAATAGCAACAACCATGGAATACAACGATGGTAAGTTCCATAACAGACATAATAGCATCGTCAATTCTATAATAATGATATATTATATTATGGTTTAATTTTGTTGTATTATTTTCTTATTAAATTACTATTATATATGACTAGGTGTCACACAAAACACAATAACACATATGAACGATAGATCAAATGGTAAGAAAGTGCTCTTGATTTTCTCTGAATTGATTTGTTTTAGTGATCTGGTGATTACTAATTGAATTACTTAGATTTTTTAGATCACGTTCTATTTAATACCCCAAACATAAAAATAACATTAAAAACATTGCAGAAGATGTTTCACTAATTGATTGGTGTGAATACAGATTTGTTACAAAATTTAGAAGAAAAAGCCACTCTTAGTAACTAGTATTTGCGCCCGTGCGTTGCACGGAATGAATTTGTTATAATATTTTAAAAATATTTAGATCGATATACAATTGTATAAATTATAACATCGAATATTATATAATATAATTGAAGAATTGAGTTGCACCGATTATGTTTTCTGATATTATCAATGCTTGAATTCGAGTAAATAGTTGCCCAATTAATAGCTAATGTGTAGATATACGCATTCGGTGCTGCAACTTTAGAGATTTTATATATCAGTGTTTAGAATTTGTATTAATTGGGCTAATTATTATTTCATCACAAGAATGCATAATAACACACACACACACACACACTAAAGTTCATATAAATTAAACGCAAGAGAAAAAAAAAAAAAACAAAAAAAAACCCCGAAGTTACTACGCTAAAACTTGGCAAG